TACATATGTATAAAATAATTGTGTGGGTTTTTTACGCTTTTCATTTTTTTTACCCGCTATTAAAAAGTGCCATTTTTTGGGACATTTTTTACTACTTTAACAGACTGCCATACGTGCGAGCTTTATCAAATTTTTTTTTTAATCAGACCACGGCACGTTAAAACAAAAAATGAAATGGAGAAATGTATCTATGTTAGAAATGCAAAAGCGTTAAGCGGAAACGAGATTTTTTTCCATTGCTGTCAATTTTTCTCTTACATCTTCATGAGAGTCCGTATCGCAATAAGTGAGGCTGCGCATTTCCACCAGCTATGGATCATCATGTATGAAGAACATGAATTGGGCGCGTTGGCAACGATTCCGCTTCGTAATCGTAAGGTGCCGCGTTCGCGTCTAGAGAGAAAAACTTTTTTTTTTCTTCATTTCTTTTTTGTTAGCTGGTGGAAATGCGTAGCCTCACTTGTTGCGATACGGACTCTCATGAAGATGTAAGGGAATCGTTGCCAACGCGCCCAATTCATGTTCTTCATACATGATGATCCATAGCTGGTGGAAATGCGCAGCCTCACTTATTGCGATACGGACTCTCATGAAGATGTAAGAGAAAAATTGACAGCAATGGAAAAAAATCTCGTTTCCGCTTAACGCTTTTGCATGTCTAACATAGATACATTTCTCCATTTCATTTTTTGGTTTAATTTTATGTCCCAAAAAATTGCACTTATTAATATTGGGTGAAAAAAATGAAAAGCGTAAAAAACCCACACAATTATTTTATACATATGCATGGTGAGATGAAACAAATAGTATATCTGCATAGAAATTTTTAGTTTTATACATTTTTGAGTAGCCTGATTCAATTTAGTCAATTTTTTTATTCATGCCTACGGAAAGATAATTTTATTTTTAATATTTCGAACTATCAGTATGTTCTACCTCGACATAATTGTCTGATAATTCGATGTATTAAAAATGTTGTCTTTCCGTAGCCATGAATGATAAAAATTAAATGACAAAAAATCCCTAACCAGATACATTATTCGTTTCATCTCACTATAGAAAATAATTGCTTCATTTTTATATGCTCATTATTATTTTTATGCCCGACAACTTTACATAGCCTTGAATGGTAAAAATTAAATGAAAAAAAAATCCCTAACCAGATACATTATTCGTTTCATCTCACTATAGAAAATAATTGCTTCATTTTTATATGCTCATTATTATTTTTATGCCCGAGATTTGTAAGTGCATTTTTGTTTTTGGTAATTTTCCGTAATGCCTTCTTTATCCGTCTAAATCTTATTTATGCTATTAAAACATGAAACAGCGTAACATAGGTGTTTGTCACAGGTAGGCTCTCGGGAAGAAGAAACGTTCGCTGATTCATGTACCAATTTATTGGATGTATACGATGTAATATAATACAATATTTGTAGATTAATATAATCATATATTTAATGAATCTTAAGTTAACTAGGTGAACTAATAAGCATAGTTGATAATTAGGAAAAAAATAAAAGGGTTGAGACGTGAGTTTCGAACTCGAGACTCTCGGACGTTAATCCAGCACCAAGCACGTGTGCTATCCAGTCATTGTGGTACGTTATTTAGCAAACTTATATTTGTGTAGTTACCAACGTTCGAGAGTTTTTATTTGGTCACTCTATTATTTACAAAGCTTCATATGATTATTAAGAGTATTGACTACCTTATTACTACGGTTTATGTAATATCCTGTAAAAAAAAAGGTGGATACAAGTCTCCCTATTTAAGTGTTCACCCGGTTTAAAATCGCGGATCTCGAGGAACACACGAATTCATTCGACCAATCAAAAACGTGGAACTAATTCGAGAGTCTCGTTCCGGTGGCGCGTCGACGCGCCAAAACACAGCTCCAGATTATCACGCGTAGTATTACTATATATACACGACCAATCAAAAACGTGGAACTGCTTCGAGGGCCCTCCGCTAAGGTGGCGCGCCGAAACCAGAGAAAAATTGAGACCACCAAAAACAGGCTCATTGGCAATCTCCCTACTCATCTCTGGTCTAACAATCAATAACGAATGACTAACAATCGATGTGCAAGTACAGAAATTCGATAAGTCGAAGTTGCCCGACTAACTTTGCGGAGGTCCAGTCAATGCTGGACCCTGCAATCGTTTTTTTAATTTTTTACGAAAACTAACGACCACTAAACATTTTAATTATGATATTCGTTACCACCAAACGATTACGCATCGATTGAGCACCTGAAAAACTTAATTCGTTGAAAAAAAAAAATTTTCGGCTAACTTCACGGTCAAATTTTGAATATTTGATTGTAAAAGAATGACTGACCACCAAATGTTTTTATTAGGCCACCAATGACCACCAAACGATCACCAATCGATTTGGTATAATAAAAAGTTAAAAAGTTAAAATTGCCCGGCTAACTTCACTGAGGTGAGAAAGACTATAGCGAGCGTTCTCCTTCTATCTAGGCTTCGTGGTCAGCAGGTAGCGAGCAGCAAATCAGCGATCAATGTGCAAAGCGTATACCCGTAAAGGCTTTCACACACAAAACGACGTAACGACGTAAGACGTAACCGTAAGCCGTAATCAGTAAGCACCATCGCACACCACACGCGTAAGGAGTAAGCTACGGCCAATCACACTCAAGGATGAATTGCGCATTTTTATCAAAGTGTCGTCATTGTACATACTATAATTTTATTTTTGCATCTATTTTCATGAGTATAAAGGTGTGGATAACCTTTTACATGATGGATGAGCAATTCGTCCGCTGATCTGGTTTCGTTTTCTATCATGATATCCAGTTTTTCGTTATCCGTATTACAATACATTGTTGAACAATATTGCTTATGATCACTCATTGCTGGTTTTATTCAATATTACGGCACATCAAAGCCACTCGTCTCACGTATAAACAATGTTCTTTTAAGCGAGACCGCGAGAAGATTTGTGATTGGTTGTCCGTAAGAAGTAAGCCGTAACGATTTCATCCTTACGATATTTTTCGCCACTACGGCTTACGTCTTACGGAGAAAATTGGAGGGGACAGTACTAGATTCTGATTGGTTGATTTCCGTACGCTTACGTCTTAGGTCGTTACGTTATTTTGTGTGTATGAAGGGCTTAACACGATGCAGGCCACAAGCTCACGATATGTGTTTCCACCAGCCAATCACAGACGCGGATACTTCTAGGCTGAGAGTTATTTTAAATGAGACATAGGTTTAGCTAAACGAGCTCAGTGTTTGGTCGGAGGAATGTACCTTGCGTTTAAACCACGATCAAATTTGATCGTCAAATTTGATCGTCGGTCAGCTAAACTGTCACTTGAACCGGGTCGGAGGAAACGGGCGTTAAAGTTTGTTCTCAGATACTTATTTTCTCTTACGTCACAGTTCGCTTAGAGCCGATATCTTATTGGTTAGTTCTAATAGAATTCTTCAATAGTATAACGTATCTAAGAGAAGTGTGTCAAACGATTAATCGACAATCGTTATGATTAATCCAACAATCACCAACAATCAGTCAATAAACGAATAGTAAAAAAAGAAGGTGAAAAGTTAATAATGGCTAATTCGACGGAAGTGACTATGATAGAAACATAATTAGAGACTGCTTCAGACAACTTCACAGATATCAGAGGTACTGCAGTTCAGTATCTTAGCAGTATCTTAGTCAATTTCAGTATCAATATAAGGACGCGATACAACGATACTTGTTCACTTTTAATTATCTCCGATTTATGAATTTGAAGCCAGTTATTACATATTTCTCTAATGCTTATACAGCATAAGTTGAAATGATCAACATTCCGAAATTGATCAAGCTAAATACTGTCAGACTTTGAAACCAGTATTTACAATAAATGCTTCACAAAAATTTACAAAATTAAGAACATTGTAATAAAAAAATGTATCAAAGCATTCATAAAAATGTCATTACCAAATTAAGTGTTGAGTACTAAAGTGTTTCTACTAACACAAGTGAAAAAAAAAAGTGGACAGAAAAGGTTATATTACCTATGAATAAGGTATATTTATATTTGCATCTGTATATTTCACACAAATTTATAATTTTCAGATTTGAGAGGCAATGCTTATATCTGTACAAAATATCCTGCAGAGGCTAAAGTTCGTTTAATGAACGAATACTTTGTGACAAAAATAATTTTTGAACGACAGGGAAGGATGTACTGTTTACAGTGGTTAATTCCTGTGCTTCTTATACCAAAACCTGTAAATCCAGCACTACTTCAGACTCATGTTATGTTTATGGTACTGTATCTAATAGGATTTTTTTTGGAGCGAAAACCATGTACAATTTGCAGCATAGTTTTTCTTGCTGCTGTTCCGCGAGAAGATTTGTGATTGGTTGTCCGTAAGAAGTAAGCCGTAACGATTTCATCCTTACGATATTTTTCGCCACTACGGCTTACGTCTTACGGAGAAAATTGGAGGGGACAGTACTAGATTCTGATTGGTTGATTTCCGTACGCTTACGTCTTAGGTCGTTACGTTATTTTGTGTGTATGAAGGGCTTAACACGATGCAGGCCACAAGCTCACGATATGTGTTTCCACCAGCCAATCACAGACGCGGATACTTCTAGGCTGAGAGTTATTTTAAATGAGACATAGGTTTAGCTAAACGAGCTCAGTGTTTGGTCGGAGGAATGTACCTTGCGTTTAAACCACGATCAAATTTGATCGTCAAATTTGATCGTCGGTCAGCTAAACTGTCACTTGAACCGGGTCGGAGGAAACGGGCGTTAAAGTTTGTTCTCAGATACTTATTTTCTCTTACGTCACAGTTCGCTTAGAGCCGATATCTTATTGGTTAGTTCTAATAGAATTCTTCAATAGTATAACGTATCTAAGAGAAGTGTGTCAAACGATTAATCGACAATCGTTATGATTAATCCAACAATCACCAACAATCAGTCAATAAACGAATAGTAAAAAAAGAAGGTGAAAAGTTAATAATGGCTAATTCGACGGAAGTGACTATGATAGAAACATAATTAGAGACTGCTTCAGACAACTTCACAGATATCAGAGGTACTGCAGTTCAGTATCTTAGCAGTATCTTAGTCAATTTCAGTATCAATATAAGGACGCGATACAACGATACTTGTTCACTTTTAATTATCTCCGATTTATGAATTTGAAGCCAGTTATTACATATTTCTCTAATGCTTATACAGCATAAGTTGAAATGATCAACATTCCGAAATTGATCAAGCTAAATACTGTCAGACTTTGAAACCAGTATTTACAATAAATGCTTCACAAAAATTTACAAAATTAAGAACATTGTAATAAAAAAATGTATCAAAGCATTCATAAAAATGTCATTACCAAATTAAGTGTTGAGTACTAAAGTGTTTCTACTAACACAAGTGAAAAAAAAAAGTGGACAGAAAAGGTTATATTACCTATGAATAAGGTATATTTATATTTGCATCTGTATATTTCACACAAATTTATAATTTTCAGATTTGAGAGGCAATGCTTATATCTGTACAAAATATCCTGCAGAGGCTAAAGTTCGTTTAATGAACGAATACTTTGTGACAAAAATAATTTTTGAACGACAGGGAAGGATGTACTGTTTACAGTGGTTAATTCCTGTGCTTCTTATACCAAAACCTGTAAATCCAGCACTACTTCAGACTCATGTTATGTTTATGGTACTGTATCTAATAGGATTTTTTTTGGAGCGAAAACCATGTACAATTTGCAGCATAGTTTTTCTTGCTGCTGTTTTTCTTATTTGCTACAGTGGTGTTGGCAATTGTCTATTTTGGAACACCAACTGTGATACTATAAGGTGTGACAATGGTTAATGTTGACACGAGTGATTTAATAAACAATGTAGTTGTACAAATGAAAAGTTGGAATACTTATTGCACAAGAAAATGTATAATTCGTAATTTTAATTGTCATGCAACATTTTTACTGTTATGATATATTAAAATATACTGTGATGAAAAAGGATTATGAGACTTTCAAAACATGCCATGGCAAAACTTATCTAATGTTTCTAAATGTATGTAGTAAATATCAAGTAATGACTTATTTCTTTTCTATTCTGATACATAGCATATTGTCTAAACATCTACCTGTATGCCGTCTTATGCCTATACTTTTAATATGTGCAGTGTAGTGGAGATTCTAATGTTATAAACATATATATGTTAATTTCATGTAGTCTATGATTCCTGTACTGCACTGTGCATGAATATACTAGCCTAATTTGTAAATTATATACTGCTAATGAATTGCATATAACTACATAAAAATATTTTTATTGTAATTCCTGCATATTTATTTTTAATTGACCTAGTAAATATGACAGCAAAAACCATTAAATCGGCAAGATGATATAGATATCTATAATATTAACTCGTGTTATTCTCAAGTGAATATGTAGAGAGGGTATCTATTATTTTTTTAAAATCATGATTTATTAACTTTATGCTGTATGTTTGCAAAATTTGGTATAGTACATCATTTTTGTATTCCATGTTATCAAATTTTTTTATTTAAAAGGTAAAAAGATTGTTCAAAATGTCTTCAAAAACCTAATAACGATAACGAGGACATGTCTCCTAATCATATATATTATATAGATGTACATACAAATTAACAATAATTAAGGTAAAGTATCTAGTTATTTTAATTGTCATCTAACTTCTCACTCGCTGTAGCGGATTCCAGCTGCTGCATAAATAATCGTAAAATAACCCAGATAGCAACGTGCATGCAAATATGACAGAAATCGCGCAGCAAGGTACTATACAATGTATGAATGTCGGCAAAACCATTGGAATATGTGTCCTCATTTGTTGCCATATTTGAAGTATACATGGTTCAAACGTTAAGCAGCAAACTAGTAGCCAATCGTCTGCAAGACTTATTCTATTTTCTTAAAATGAGTCAATGTCTATTCATTGATAATCATTCGCAACTGTAAGTAAAATGCTGAAAATTATATGGAGGGTGGAAACATTTAAAATTTGAAGAAAATTTAAAAAATGGTTTCGTTGTACGTTGTGCTTTTGTGCTTGGTATATAATTCTATTTATTTGCATCGACGTCAATAGAACTCGAAACTGCGATCGTCGAGATGCTCGAAGTGAGGAAGAAGAATATGACACTCTATCCATTGAGTCATCAGCCCAATTTGTTAAGATTACTGCGATTAAGAAACATAATCGTCAATATTCATATGTATAAAAACATAGAAGTTGAAGATAACTGTTGCTACAGGCAACTGCACGAACAATGCTCATTGAATCTATTAATTAACTTGGAATGTAGCAAATGCATAATTATATTATACTATATACATTTTATTATATTATACAGTCGTGTCTATTTTTATGCCGTTGATACGTTCCACAGAATTAATAAAAAATATAAGTGAAGTAGAAGGAGGAACCCGGAATTTTCATGAACCTTCAAAACCGCATTAAAAAGCCACCTGCAAATTAATTTTACCCATTAAAATGCTATATGTAGATATACATATATTCCTCATATAAAGATCGCGAGGCACAGAATACATGGGTATGTCCAGTCTATTGACATATAGTGTGGACTACGCGATCCCTACCTTAGATCCTTTGAAAAAGTGTCCGCTCAAATAAACAAAGAGGATATGAGGTGGCGGCCAATCGTTCTCCTTTTCTAATGTTCCCATTGCCTATGTTTTCTATACTCTCGTACTACGGCTGCTGGTCAGAAGAAGATAGGGCTTGGCCGCCACCAGTCGCTACCTTTTTCTTTCAGCCGACCATTTTTTCTGTCTATGCGTAGTCCATACTATATGT